AATAGAAATTAAGTTATTTTACTTAAACCACATAAATAATACAAGTTGTAAGGTTTGTAAATACATGTATGTATATACATATATTACCTTAGCTAGGTAATACATTAATTATAGTACTATAGCATATGGACCGTCCATTTGGGACTGAATTTGGTTTATTCATTTTTATATATAAGTAAAGGTCTAAACCCTAATTAATATACCTATTTTTATACCCCGAGCACTTACATTGGTGAACATTGTAGCTTGTCTCTGAAGGGCAAAGCTTTTTAGTAGTTCTTTGCTTTAATGTTCGGGATCGTGCTTTTTTATTTTTATTTCTTCATTCTCTTCTAAATAGATTTACTTTTTCTTCTAATCTTTATTGCATTCTCTTTTTCTACTATGCTACGCCGTCATCAATCAAGGAGTATGTCACTTGAGGCTACTAATGCTGCTCTGTTGGATCAAACTTTTGGTGTTGTTGCGTGTAATCATATTAGTGTTGCACCCATCCTTGGTGTGTTGCTGTCTTCAGCTTTTGTAGGACGTGATTACACGGCTTGTCTTGTTTATAATGTTTTGCCATCTCCTATTGATATGGAATATGATCGTGATATTGATTGACGAGCTATGGATAATGCAATCCAATTTTTGGAGAATGTTCAAGGATCAAATTTATGGGAAGATGGTGTGTACAAGCTAAAGTGGATTCCAGAGTGTGATGATGAACTTGATTATTATGGAGATAACTTTGGAGATGAAGTAGAGATTTTGTGGGGTAGATGTCAATATTTCAATTTGCCATCTGATCTTTTCTCTTTCCCTTCTGCATTTTCCCAACCTTTTCTTATTTTTTGGCCTAAGCCATTTTTTCATGTTTCTAGTATTTCTTCCTCATCTACAATGTTTTCTTCTTCTGGCACATCAATCATTTGTGACTCTCATGATTTTCATTTTCAATCCAGTGTTGAGTTGAGTGTTTCTTGTCTTCTTCATACTAATTTAGATGTTGAGCATGTCTATAAAGTTGAGAATCTTGTTTTTGTTTTATTAGCAGAGTCTTTGATCAATTTTAGTGTTGAGTATTCCCCTGTTCCAAGGGTTGAGTCACTTTGGCCAGAGTTTCAGGTTGAATGTATATCCTCACTTCTAAATGCCACTGAGAACTTTTGCTTTACTGTTTGCTGCTGAGGAATTTATATATTTCTTTGAGAGTGTAGATGTTATTATTGATTTTCTTGTCTCAAGTGTTGAGTTGTGTGTTGAGAAGGTTGAGTGGTGTGAATCTTTTGCTTATATTGTGGTGGCCGAAGTATTTTATAATAGAAAATCCCCTATTGTCAAATCCTTAAGCACATATTCTTTTGATTTCCCTATTTCTGCCTTGTCAATTGCTGTAAATTCCTTTTCTGATACTTCTTTATCCGCTTTTTCTTCTTCCACAATTATTTTTCCTTAATTTTTCTCGTTTTCTCCTTTTTGCTTTGATACTTCAAACTTTTTTTTTCTTTGGAGGAGGGGGTAAAGGGGATAAATGGGAGTCCAACCCCAACAATGGAGTGAGGACAAGTGAATACAATAGTGGAGTGAGTACGAATGATATGGATTGTGGAGTGAGGATGAGTATAACGAGTCCAAACAGAACATTTGGCTCCGATGTAATGAGGCCAAACAGATGCAATAGTGAAGTGAGGCTAGATATAAATGGTAGAGTGAGGATGAGTATAATAAATTTGAATGGAGCTAGTGCTTCAAAACTTTTTTTCCTTCCAAGAGGGGATAAGGAAAATATAGAGGACAAATGGAGTGAATTTGACCTCCTTTATTCAAAGTTATGGTTATGTGTTTGCTTTGAGCATTTGGGAGTTGCATACAAAGTTGTAATTGATTTATCGAGGTGCCATAGTCGACATGCTTATGCCATGGCTTTGGGTTTTATTTCAGTCATGGTTATTAACAACTTTATTGGTGTTTTTATGGGAGTTTAAGATTCTTGTGGTAGTTTATAATTGCCCAACAGAAATTCTAGATATTCCACCTAATTTATTATCATTATTTTTTCATCTTCTGGAGGGGAGGATGGTGTAAGGCTTGTAAATACATATATGTATATACATGTTTTACTCTAGCTAAGTAATGCACTAATTATAGTACTATAGCATATGGACTGTCTATTTGGGATTGAATTTGGTCCATCTATTCTTGTATATAAGCAGGGGTCTCAACCCTAATTAATATACCTATTCCTATATCCCAAGCACTCATAAAGTTAATAAAAAACTGATAATAAATTAAATTTAATATTTCAAGATTCACCAAGGGCTTATATTCTTTTATCATGTGTTTCCTTTATAATACTTATATACAAAATTGATTCTATTACCATATGATTAACTACATTGACTAGCATTGTGTGGCCCAAGCATCTAAGAGCATCATATAAATTTATTATTTCTTCAAATTTTCTTCTGATAAAAGAAAAAAGATCTTCTTAGATGTTCTTTGTGTAGCTAGTTAATTAGATAAGATGTTATGCATTATCAACCAAACAAATTAATCCAGCTCAATCTTTACTATTTTTAGATCATGTGTTTGGAACATTTGTAGATTGCTTGCGAATATAACCTCCCCTCAACCCCTATCAACTTTCAAGCAATAGTGTGATCCTTTATGAACAGAAAAATTATAATAATATTAGTGAGCAACCAACATAACTACCATTATAAAAAACATATGCAAGCCATATCAAATGGAATTGTTGCTGTTTATATGGTGAAGTAGCCTATGCCTTCTTCTTATTTGCAACACCGCAATCTGATACTCCATGCATACTTCCATCAGGTGATGGATGACATTGTTCCATAACTTCCATAAGTTGGAGAACCACCACCCAAACCAAATCTTAAATGTCTTACAGTAAAGCTAAAGACAAATGGGTAGAATGCACAATACAGCACCCCCCTTTATTTAGGGTGGGACCCATTTGCTTATTTGGATTTTCACACTACCTCATTGCTTACATAGGCATGCCACCTCATTACTATAAATTAAATATTGTCCTAGTAAATTATTTTCAATTATTTTTTTAAGTATTTAAAAGTACAAAATCAAATATACTATTTATTCTGCTATAAAAAAATTATCTTGATTGTATAGCATAATATAACTACATAGAATATTAAATGCAACTTCCTTTCTTTCAATATATAGTTTTTGCCAAATATGTTCTTGAAAGTAAGAGCTATATAATCCTTTTGTTATACCATAGCAAAGGATGGATCTTTTCACTGCATTCCATATTGATTCAATATGATTTATATGAACTCCAATCACGGAATCAATAAAATTATAGGAGTGGTTAATTGTATAATAAGTGAAGTTCAACTAATTCAACCACTCTGAATCATAACTAGCCCAAAAATCACTATATATAACTGTTCCTAAAAGATTAATTATTAGCAGTAGTTAAGTTTAATAATAGAAATAGAATTTTCTTGGTTTAACATATGTATATAATATATCAATTAAAGTTTGTGCAGTACGATTCGCCACCAAAACTATAAACATTTGATCTGAATCATGCTCAATTCCTTCAAAAATCTATTGACCTTTTACTCTTCTACCATAATTATATTTTCACTACCAAACTTACTTTTATCAATTTCCACAATTCTTTTTGGACTACCAATTTTTTTGTTGTAATGTGATAACACAAATATCATGACAAAAATTGTACCAATTTTTTGTCGTATGCTTACTTTTAATACGAGCTTGACCTTGTGGCATTTTAATGCACCAACAATATATCACTCTAAGCATTTGAGCAAATGTGAGATTACTATTTACAAACCATGTACTAGTTTTAAGAGATCTTGTGGTATTGCAATTTTTACAATTCCACTTCAAACCATTTTTACAACCTTGATTATCAGATCGATATCTCATTAGTCAATGGCATCTCTCACATTCTCACCCTAATACAAAAAGTAAAAGAATTCACTTTAATATTAGTTCTCTTAATAAGATCAGAAAAAGAAAGAATACTATCTTGAGCATAATCTACATATTCCAATCTAGCCATAATACTAAAGAGAATGAATAAAATAAGAAAGAAAATATAAGGAGCACAAATATAAAACACTGAAGAAAAACCTAAACCAAGCCTAGGTTATATACTTATAAATTATAGCCGTTCATTCACTGGAACTAACATATCCGTTAATAACATCTACTAATTAAAATCATGATATTACTAATTTAGAGTTAGTAGTTAAACATTTAGGGTGCAGAGCTGGGACCACGGAAGAAGCGAGTGAGCGTGGCAAAGGGGCAGCCACGTAAAAGACTATTACAGCAGCACCATTTGCCACAACCGCAAATTTGTTTAGCTTGCAGATGATTGTGGGACTTTTTAGGAGAGTGTAAGATGATCAAGCAAGAGGAGAAATCAATTCTGAATTTGCAGAAGAAACTTATCATCAAGGCAAAGGTGGAGAAGAATCAAGAGCTTCTAAAATTTGCATGTAATATTCCAATGGCGCTGGTCATCTAAAGTGGTCTTTTAGTACTGCTCGTTACCATAGTTATATTTGCTTGAGAGTTGTTTCATGGAACTTAGCTCATGGACCCCAATCGAACTGTAATTCAGAAAAACATATAATTTTATCGTGGAAAAGCTGCTTAACACAAATAATGCAACAAATATTGCAGCCCTCTAGCAAAATAACACTTTTTTCTTCTCTTTTTTATTTTCTACTTTGCATAGCAAGAAAGACAGACTTTTATAAACAAGAGAAGCTCCAAATTAAGCTTTAAAATTTGTGACTTGATTAAGGAAAAACTCGTCTCTACCGGCCATTGGAACCTTAGTTTTTTATCCCTGCCATGTCCGCTGCAGGCTGGATCACTGCTACGGAAGCCTGAGAGCTTCCGTATCTGTGACTCTCCTTCGAAGCACTGCATTCGAGAGAAGCTGCAAGACCATCACTCTGTCGTTCACCAACATTAGAACCGTCCAAGAGACAAAATTCCGGTGCTTTGCCCGTCTAGTATTTAGGATCTCCAGAAGAACAAAACCCAAACTTTGCAAAGATCAAACAAAGTTCTTGTACAGTTGCTCCAAAGAGAAAATAAAGAGAACTTTAAGATCCCTTGCGTTCAAGAAGATCCAAGTAGTAACTCTTTGACTTATTTGCAACAAATTCGCGTTTTTCCTGCGCAAGAAGAAGGAAAAAAATAAAGATAATCAGCAAGCGAGTGTTAGATACCAGAACCTGCGATGGTGTTTGTTTGGTCATCCTGTGGAAGTATGCCAGGAACTCTGTGTTGCCATCGGTGCCTTTGATTGGGAATTCCATCCAGCCTTTGCAAGCGAAGCCAAACTCCTCAACACCATCTATGACCTTCTCAAGCACCTACACACAAAAGCAAGAGAAAAAGAGGTCAAGAAAATATATAAATATTCTATTTTGCTACACCTCTCTGTGAACTTCGGGCTTTCTCACGATCCCACCACCGCCAACCTGCGAGAAAAAACGATGATACGCCTGCATACACTTAAAAAAGAGAGACTTACCTGAGACCTGGCCGCTTCAAACTGTGGCTTGATGAGAATGATGCCGCTCGCATCCTGCTTCATCACCGAGCACACGGCAGACATCACCTAAGATTGGAAAAAGAAAAAACAAGCGTGTCAATCCTCTAAATTGCTGGAACTGAGAGAATCTCACCAACAAAACCGAGATAAAGCACAAATCCAGAGTGACGAAGTCTACCATCTCGGGTAGCCGAGTTAAGAGACGTAAGTTTGTCCTCTCCATGACGCGAACTCTTTTATCGGTTCGAATTTTCTCGGCAACCTTGAGAGAGTTTCAATCCAAGTTAGCGCTTTCCTTTTTCCCTTCCAAAGAAACACAAAGACTTACTTGGCCATAGCCAACGTCGACTCCATACACTCGCGTGGCACCATGCTGTAGCATGCAGTCAGTAAAGCCTCCGGTGGAGAGCCCCGAGTCGAGCACCACTTTACCATTTAAATCACACCCAAACCGCTCCAGCGCTGCTGCGAGCTTGTCTCCAGCCCTGGATTGATCGTCATTTCCTTTGTGACGAAGAAAGAAAACAGAAGAAAAGAGGAATAAGACGTGCCTGCAAACGTATTTTGGAGGCTGGGCTGTGATCTCGATTGCTGATGTTCCTGCGACTTGCATCCCAGACTTGTTCCTGGCCATCCACGAAAACTTTCCCTGGACACACAGAAACACTCTTCCATTGGAATAAGAAAGACCACACACCCACACACACGGAAAAAACAAAGAAGAAGAAGAAGAAACGAGCGTTGCCTTGCCTTGTATGATCCAGGATTGCACCACATTCCGCGCGAACTGGGGATATCTTTCCACGCAGAGCTCATCCAATCTCCTTTTCTTCTTCCTTCTAACAAAAATTCCAGCTTAAAAGATTCATTCATCTAAACACACTCACTTCCTCGAGTCGGCCTTCCAGGATCGCCGAGCTGGCGAATGAACGGATTCGCCGATTCATCCTCCACATTGCGCATCTACTAAATAACCCTAAAAGATAATCTTCAGCTAAATAATCTATATAAAACCCTAAAATTTCCAAAAATCCTTTTCAAAGTCTTTTGGGAGACATACAGAGTTGGTGTGCACTCCTACCTTCTAAGGACGTTGCTAATGCAGGGTGATGCTTGTACTGTGTTGCTCTTGTGACATCATGGCCTGAATATAACAGGGGGGGTCCCTTCCCGAAAGCCAGCAGCTCTGTGTCTTACTGAGAGCTGTGTTCGTGTGCAGAATCTCGCGAGCGCATCAAGCTGTCTTTGCATTTGCCCATAGGAGTTGGTGAGCAGGACCAAGTCATCGGCGTAGAGAAGTAATTAGAGAAACAGACTCATCGGGGCTGTCAGACGTCCGACAGCTCTTCTTCCTGGAAAAGTGCCTCAATGGCATCGATGTAATTCCAAACAAAGCTGGAGACAAGGGACAGCCCTGCTTAACCCCTTGATCGCCGCACATCTTATTCGGCTTGGATCTTGGTGTAAAGGTGGCCGATGGCTGCGATGAGAGACGGAGGGTGTGTTCAGATCCCGTGAACACATTTTTTTCCCCTTTCTCTTAACTATTCCGCATTACACAACCTGAATTCTTAAGTGCAGAAGTGGCAAAAAAATAACTTTGCAAAAGCTCCTGGATGAATACAAATCTCGAAATGACGAGCTTTCTAAGTTATGAGTTGTGATCTTCAGTGGAGAAGGGATCCAAACAAAACATCTTCCTGCAAAACATCACCCGTAAACGGTTCTTCAAATCATCTTAAGCTGCTTCCGCTGCAAATCCGAAGAGTAATACCGACAACTCAAAGTGAATTGGAGAAGGGATCATACCGTGCTGACTGAATTCAGTCAACACTTTGCTAAACATGACTGTGTGCGTGTTTTGGAAGAACAGCGCGTCATCTTATAACTTCTCACGGGAAGCAAGGTTTAGTGCTGCTGTAGCTCGAAGCTTGATAGGAGACGGTCGTTGTTCACTGCTCCACATGCATGCTTGCAACGCCTTGCCTTGGTAGCCGCTCACAGTCTGCCATTCAACCGTGCATAGTGCCTTGATTATTAGCGCTTGGGTGAGTAGGAGTCATTAATTTCCTGGCTAGTTTTCAAATACTCTTGCTTGTCAATCCATGGAGCTCTATCAAAGCTAGAGATGGGATGGCGTAGACAAATATAATCTCATTATTGTAAACATTACCCTGAACCACAATAAAATAAAGTGTACTTGTGACGCATAGACCACATGTTGTAAACGTACAATAAGGGGACTATAGATTTTTTTATTGATGTTAAATGAGTGGCTGAAAGAATGCACGGATCAAACAGCGTGCACGTTAGTGCTACATGAATAAAAAACGTGAAATGTGATCTCTGTTGGATCACTGGTATAAATACCCCTTCTCTTGCCCATGTTTCACCAACCTAGTTCTTTCTTTTGCACGCACAGATTTTAGATCAAACTGTTTTCACAACGCAACCATTTCAGAATGGCTGCAATCTTGTTGATGATCGTGTTGCTCGTGATGGCTGCAGCATGGAAGATGGTGTGCATTGGCAAGAGAAAAGAGAGAGCGAGATTTCTAGCGTCACTCCACCCCGTGAGAGATGCCCACAAGATCTTGTGGTATATGTACTCGGTGGAATTCCCCTTCCTCTCACAAAAGGCGCTCGAGTTTGGCACCATCCGCACGCTGGGCATCCCCGGGATCACAAATCTGCTCTTCAAGACCAAGTACGGCCTCAAGGATCCCGAGAAGCGCGCCGCCGAGACCAACATTCTGGTGAGCGAGATGATCCACCACCACGTCGACAGCGATCGCGGCTCGTACGCGGTGAGGAGATTGAATGGAATCCACAACAAATTCAAGATCCCAAACGACCAATTCGCCTACGTCCTCTGCCTCAACGTGATCAGTCCCATTGATTTCTCGGAGAAGTTTGGATTCCGCAAGTGGACCGACAACGAGAAGGAGGCCGCGTATGTTGTGTGGCACGACGTGGGCGTGAGGATGGGCATCACAAACATCCCAGACAGCATTTCCGAGATGCGAGAGTACATTCGCGAGTACGAGGCCAAGAACGCCATCTTCACGGACAAGAACAAGAGCATCGTCCAGGATCTCAAGCATCTGGTGCTGGACGCGTTTCCTCAGCCCGTGCAGCCGCTGGTAGAGACTGGGATCTGCGCGCTCATCGATCCCACAATCAGGAGCGCTGTTGGATTGGAAAAGCCCCCCGTGATCGTGGAGTGGATCATCTTGGGTGCGTTCAAGCTGCTGGCCGGGAGCTGCGTGTCCGCATTTATGCCTCCCAGACGTGTGGAGGATGCGAAGGGCAGCATTGAGGTGGACTGGTGTCCCAATCCCGCTGCCAATCCGGAAGAGTACCGGCAGCTCAACGTGAATGTGTATCGGCCACCAGCATTTGAGAAGGGATACAAGCTGGCGGAGCTGGGAGTGCTGAAATCCGGCAAGATTGGACCATACTACGATGGAGGATTACGTTGTCCCTTTCAGCAAATGCATGCATAGAAATACCTTAAGTAAAGTTTTGTTATTACTTATTAATCCAATTGATCAAATAAAGTTTATAATTATAAGCATGTTTGCTCGTAATCTCGCCGTTGCCGGGGATCGAACCCGGGTCGTCCGCGTGACAGGCGGAAATACTCACCACTATACTACAACGACATCAGACAACGAATACAAAGGAAGAATTTGTATCAAGCCATTGTTTAATTGCTGAATAGACATTTTAATACTTGATAGAGATTTCGTCAACTTAATATGTGTTTAAATGATTTTCTATGTCCTCCTAATGAAATTTCACGAATCCACGATGGAATGTCCATTGGTGGCTCCGGAAATGTCTGCACAGCTCTTGGGGATGACAAAAACTCCAACTCCGAGTGAGTTCCAAAGTCTCAGCCTCTTGACATGATCTTCGCGTGGATATCCTCCAGCAGTAGCTCATAAGTAGCACAAAGCAGAGTAAAAAGAAATAACGAAAACGAACTTTTACCTCGCGCAAGCTGGCTTTGATCGGTGTAGGAGCTATTACCACACCTGGAGAATCATGTTGGCACAAACTAACCAAGATATGAAAGCCATGCCTCTCGCTTAGGACCTTTGCTGGACTACAATAGCTCCTAAACAAATCGTTGTGTCTGCCTGAGAATACTAACAACCCTGTTATTACTGTCGCCACAGTGCATTCTCGTGGAAAACTTCGAAGACTAATCATCACCATACTCTACCTTAGACGTCGACGATCCAGAACTTCTTAGAGCATATAAGAAGCTGCTCGTCTTTTTCAAGAATGCGATGGACTCTGGCAACCCACAGGAACCTTGGTGCCAACTCCAGTATGCGCTGCACCGCAGGTGAGGAATCTTGAAAGATCGCAAGAGCCTGCGTCGTAGTTGCTAGAATCAACTCCTAGAAGTCAAATGAGAAAACTTACATTCGGTCTCAGCAGCCGATCCATTTCCAGCATTATATCTTCGATCTGGCACCCTTTTCTCCCTGGATAGAGGGACATCACGCGATATGCGTGCAACAAGTCGTAGCTCCTCGGGTAGCTCGAAAAGCTTTCGCACCTGTGGATGCAAGAAATGAGAAGAAAGCCAAGTGAGTATGAGCAAGCCTACGTACCAGCTATGCAAGGTGCCTACGAGGCCTCGACCATAGACAACGTTGAGAGTGTTGCTAGATTCCGATGGAACCACGTTCATGATCCACACGGGATTGTTCTGTAGTAACAAGGCAGCAGCAAAGCCTCCGTATCCAGCATTCATATCCATAACGTTCCGAATGGAATTTTCGGATACATTAAGCAGCTTCCAATAGTTTCCAACTTTGCCTTCCCAGAGAGATGTGTCTTCTTTGAAAGAAGATGAGCTGATCCCTGTGCAAAAGAAATCCCGTTACCACATACTGGAGTATATAACAAAGTTACCGAGCTGGTTCGAGTAAGTTGTAAGCCGTTCCGGCCATGAAGGAAGTTGGACGAAATTGGCATCATTGTCCTCAGACAAGGCAATGCAGTCGTCCAGTGGCTTGTTCCACGAGTTGTCTAGAAACTCCTTGCTTTGGTTAGCGCACAGCTTGGACTTGGCGAGCTGACAGGACCTGTCGGCGGTCTTCCTCCAAACCGCAGTCTGGACGTGCCGTGCGATCAGCTTCCAGCAAAGAGATTCTGTAATGTTGGTCAGGATGTTCCAAACTTCAGGGAAATCCTTGTCTTTGCGATAAGCTGGAGGTGCAGAATAGATGAAGAAGCCACCAGGTCTTAAAATCCGGTCCATTTCCCTGAGCAAAATACCTCCTGCAGATTCACGGAAAGGAACATTTTTATATCATGCACGAGATTCCAACTAATGCTTACCATCTTCGTGCCAATCGACGCGACAGCGGGAACAGTGAACAGCATCGAAGGATCTGGAAGGATACGGCAAGCGCTTGGTTCCAAGCGCCGCAACAAGAGCCGGTATTCCTCGTTCCAGAGCGAACTGGATCTGATTCTCGTGAGAGTCAAGCGGCGCAAACGACATGGTCTGGATGTCGAGGTTGAAGAGATAAGCTGCAAAGCTTGCAACTCCGCAGCCAACGTCCAAAACTCGAGCCACTCCAGCAGTCTGTAAATCTCCCTTCCAATCCGTGGTCATGTTTCCTAGCCTGTCTACACGAAGCTGATGGATCAATGGATCAAAAGAAAAGTGTTACCTCTGGATGTACTCGGGAGCTCCATGCTTGAAATGCGTCCCTCCTCCCGGAAACCACATCGTGGAGCCTTTAACGTGGACCCAGTTCTGGCCACCTTTCACTTCGGCTAGCCGGGTGTGGTTTACGTTGCTCCTCCACACATAGTCTCGGCTCTGGGGCCACCGGATGGGAAGCTTGTAGGACTTTGGTGGAGGAACAAGGCAGAAAGGACGCTGATGTGGTGGGGGGCATTGTCGCTCCAAGTGCTCCCTTCTCGAGAGATTGAGCTTGCTGGAGATGGAAGCAATGTAGTTTGGATCGTGGCATGGGATGTACTCGGTAAAGTTGCTTGGGCAGAGGCTGACTCCATCGGGAGGGATCTGGAGTGGCTGGGATCGAAGTGACAGACGAACCGTGTTGGGTGACAAATCATCTGCCATCGCGATCGATCAAATCAGTGAGAAGTTATGGCGGGCAAGAGCGAAATTTACCAGAATGCGGCCGCCTGAGCTGGACGGCGCCGCTGCTGCTGCTGTCATCGCCGACGAGAGAACCAATATAGAGGAAGATGGAGGCGAGCAAAGCCGCGGCGAGGACGAGCTTGACGAATTGCTGCGAGCAGAGCGTCTCCGCCAAGAATCCGAGCTTCTTCATGGCCCTGGCGATTGATTCTACCTGAGGAAGAAGGCGGTGGCCGCGATTCTTGCCCTTGCCGCCATTGCACGGCTCCAAGAGCGATCCAATCCAAGAACCCTAGCCCTTGGGAGAATGCCGGAGCTGGGCATTTGGGCGAATCTTCTATAAGTATCGTTTATTTGATTCCGCGTGTTATGTGTATAGTAACATGGAATAGGCTACTTTGCTCTAATGGGCGGGCAAGGCAAGGCTATGGCCATGCCGCCTTCTCATTCTTCCGCACTAGCAGGAGCTTCTTCCAGCCCTAGCGCTTCTTCCTCGTGCTCCTCCTCTTCCTCCTCGGGCGCCGCGGTCATAGGTCTCATTCGAGATAGGGATTCTTCGTCCAGCGCCTTGGATCATCAGCAGAGTAAGCGACGACAGCCTCCAGCGCCCGCGATCGATGAGGACGACGCTCCAAGTGCTAGGATTCCAGCAGCAGCGGCGGCGGCAGCGGCAGCTCCAGCTAAGGATTCCCTTGCCTATGCCGAAATATTGCTGTCGAGGAGCAAGTTCGCGGATGCCCAGCTGCTGTACAAGAGCGTGCTCGAGGCGGAGCCGAGCTGCGTCCAGGCGCTGGTCAGCAAGGGCGTTTGCCTCCAGATGCAAGGTAATGCGCGCCAGGCCTTGGAATGCTTCGCGTCGGCGCTCAAGCTCGATCCTTCCAATGCTCGAGCCCTAACGCAATGCGGCATTCTCTACAAGGAAGAGGGCCATCTGCTCGAAGCATCCGAGGTGAGTGTATCCTTTGCTCGTTTTGCTCGCAAACTAGATGGATTTTCTCTCTTGTATCTTCGCAGGCTTATCAAAAAGCGCTCCAGGCAGACCCAAAGTACAAACCAGCCTTGGAAAGCCTCGCGGTTGTCTTGACTGACATTGGCACCAGCTTGAAGTTGTCTGGGAACGTCCACGATGGTATGCAAAAGTACTTTGAGGCGCTTCGAGCGGATGCTACGTACGCGGTAAATCCTCTTCCATCCTTTTGCGTGTGGAACTAAGCAAGCGAAGATTCTCGTGCCATGCAGCCGGCGTTTTACAACCTGGGTGTCGTTTACTCGGAGATGCTCCAGTATGACACAGCTTTGAACTGTTACGAGAAGGCCGCGGCGCACAGGCCCATGTATGCCGAAGCATACTGCAACATGGGCGTCATCTATAAGAACCGGGGAGATTTAGATGCGGCAATCGCTTGCTACGAGAGGTGTTGCTTTTGAAAAGCTTCTACAGTTCGCTGATATAGTTTTCCACGTGTTTGTGTGCAGGTGCTTGGCTGTCTCTCCAAATTTTGAAATCGCAAAGAACAATATGGCGATCGCGCTGACAGATCTTGGCACTAAGGTAAACTTCCAGTTGCTTTCAGAAAGTCAAACATGGTGACCACATCAGGTGAAGCTTGAGGGAAACATCCATCAAGGCGTTGCTTATTACAAAAAGGCCTTGCTCTATAACTGGCACTATGCCGACGCGATGTACAACCTCGGTGTTGCGTACGGGGAAATGCTGAAATTCGACATGGTAATCCCGCGTGCGTAATTTCTGTTTCAATCACGCTAACGTATGGCGCGTGCAGGCAGTCGTGATGTACGAACTGGCGTTGCATTTCAACCCTCAGTGTGCGGAAGCATGTAATAACTTAGGAGTCATTTACAAGGACAGGGACAATTTGGACAGAGCCGTCGAATGTTATCAGGTCCTTCGTGTTTTTTTCTGTACAAGAAACCGCTGAAACAATCGTGTGCATGCAGATGGCTCTTACAATAAAACCCGACTTTTCCCAGTCTCTCAACAACCTTGGCGTCGTTTATACCGTCCAGGTACTTGATCTTGGCTTTCAGACACCGGAGGTCGTTTCACGTGCTCTGTTTCAGGGAAAGATGGACTCTGCGTCGGCAATGATCGAAAAGGCGATCCTCGCAAACCCTTCGTATGCAGAGGCTTATAACAATCTCGGTGCGCTGATTTAAATGCTTGCAATTTTTTTCTAGAATGAGTGTTCCTGCAGGTGTGTTGCATCGAGATGCCGGAAATATTTATCTTGCAATTGAGGCTTACGAACGTTGCTTGCGTATAGACTCGGACTCTCGGAACGCCGGGCAGGTCTGCACAATCACTTTTTATACAAGCTGCAACTAACACGGCATTGCTATGTCCGCTTAGAACCGCTTATTGGCAATGAACTACATATATGAGGATGAAGATAAATTATACCATGCTCACAGGTAGAGTAAGGTGATTGCTTGAGGTTCTTTCGTGAACATTTTGTCCCTTCACGTTTTGATGTTTTCCAGAGACTGGGGCAAGCGGTTTTTGCGTCTATATTCTCCATACACAACTTGGAGCAATTCCAAGGAACCTGACAGACCACTAACCATAGGATACATCTCACCCGATTACTTCACCCATTCTGTCTCTTATTTTATAGAAGCCCCGCTTATGCACCATGACTATAGTAACTACCGGGTTGTCGTGTATTCTGCAGTCGTCAAGGTAATTTTGAAGCATAATTTGATACTCCAGTGCTAACATTCGCAATGTTCCCAGGCAGACGCTAAAACACAACGCTTTAAGGACGCTGTGTTGAAAAACGGTGGTATGTGGAAGGAAGTTTATGGAATCGACGAGAAGAAAGTAGCAGCTCTTGTCAGAGAAGATAACGTGGATATCTTGGTAGAACTTACTGGGCATACGGCAAATAATAAGCTCGGGGTTATGGCGTGTCGTCCGGCTCCTCTTCAGGTAAGCGTGTCGCTTCGTAGACAGAAGAACTGCTAACTCCTGTGCACAGGCCACCTGGATAGGATATCCAAACACAACTGGGCTAGCCACAATTGATTACAGATTTACAGATTCATTGGCTGATCCGCCAGATACCAGACAAAGGTAAGTTCCTTCGCAAATCTCAAATGCGCTAAACCGTGAGAGATTCGCAGGCACGTAGAGGAACTTGTTAGGCTGCCGGGATGCTTTTTATGCTACACACCTTCTGCCGAAGCAGGCCCAATCGTTCAAGCCCCGGCTTTGACAAACGGTTTTGTCACTTTCGGAAGCTTTAATAATCTAGCGAAGGTAACTAAGCTTCGGATTCCTCGTCATTCCGTGCTAAACTATCCTCGTCTAAGCAGATAACTCCTCGGGTTGTTCGTGTTTGGGCCAGGATACTCTGTGCCGTTCCGACAGCCAGACTAGTTGTCAAGTGCAAGCCATTTTGTTGTGACGGAATAAGGGACAAGTTTCTTGCCAAATTCGAGGAGCTGGGCGTGCAACCGATGCGGCTTGATCTATTGCCTCTCATTCTGTTAAACCACGACCACATGCAGGCGTATTCGTTCATGGATATCAGGTATCCAAGTTCATATCCCTTGCATCACTCGAACTCACTGTTCTATCTACAGCCTCGATACATTTCCATACGCGGGTACCACGACCACCTGCGAATCGCTCTACATGGGGATACCGTGCGTTACAATGGCAGGCAAGGTCCATGCAAACAATGTGGGTGTTACGTTACTGAGCCAAGTCGGTAAGTGCATAACAAAGCTGCCATTCTCTTCACTCTTGACTCTGGCTGGTCTTGTCTTGCTGCAGGCTTGTGTAATCTAATCGCCCGGACGGAAGACGAGTACGTGAAGAAAGCTGTGGACTTAGCTTCGGACGTTTCAAAGCTCTCGGCATTGAGGACTGGACTCCGGGACAGGATGCTCAAGTCCCAACTTTGCAATGGCCCGAGCTTCGTCCAAGGCTTGGAAGCGGCCTACCGTACCTTGTGGCAAAGGTATTGTCAGGGAATTGTACCATCGCTCGTTAGGCTTAGAGACGACCAGGCCGACGGCACCCACTCGGACAACACGAACTGGGTGAACGGCTTCAAGCCGACAGCAAATGGTTTTGGGTCGGCCATTATTTCGGACACTAGAACCAGGTAGAAAGGTACGCACGCTTCCATTTTATAGGCCAGAGGGAAGGATCACTGGGATGAAGCACTTCACCATTGTTTCCTCCTGTCTTCCTTTTATTTACAGTGCAGGGAGTCCACCAAATGGACACAAATATATAAGATTTCCGATGATTTCTAGTTGCAGCAAGCGGATTTTTTAGTCTCTATCGGTCTGTCGGTGAGAACCATTCCAGTGTTTTGTTGAGCCGGCTGTGCTTTTGGCAATTTCCTGGCTGCAAAAGAGAGAGAAGAGGAACCAACGCGTTAGGCGGGACGGAAGCTTGAAAGCAAACAGCGATCGATGCAAGCTTTGAAAGCAAACAGCTTACTTACCAATCTCGTAGAAGAGCTCGTTGACGTTCTCGGCAGTCTTTGCAGAGGTTTCCATGAAGAAGAGCCCGTTTTCATCCGCGTAGGATTGTCCCTCCTGTATGACACGACCGAGATTGTCAATTGCGGTTATAAGTAAACGCCGCGTTACCTGCGTCTCGATCTTACGCTTTGCTGCCAAATCGGCTTTGTTTCCAGCAAGAGCCATGACGAGGTTGGCATTTCCTGAAAACCACCAACGAGATAAACACGAGAGAAAGAAAGAGATACGTGTCGATCGTTCTCACCTTGCCTCTGAAGTTCCTGGACCCATTTTTTGGCCCTCGCAAAGGACTCCTGGTGGCAAGAAAGCAAAGTTTCATCAGCAAAGAGGAAGAGAATGGAAGTTAGCTACAACGCAAACTTACCGCGTTTGTGATATCATAAACAATAATGGCCGCGGCAGCACCGCGGTAGTACATTGGAGCTAAGCTATGGTAGCGTTCTTGACCCGCCGTGTCCCAAATCTCAAACTTGACAGTCGTCTCGTTCACGGCCAACGTCTGTGTCAAGAATGCCGCTCCAATCGTCGACTCCTGCCGTAAAAACCACGATAAAATCACCCATTTCACATCCTCTTTTCCACACCTGGTAATCGAAGAACTGGCCCTTGACAAATCTGAGAACCAGGCTGGATTTCCCAGCTCCCATGTCCCCTAGCAGCACCTGGAAGCGCCATGGCAAAATCTCAGCGCACGACCAACAGTGGAAACCCTAATCTAGAGCGCGATGGATCCAGGGCGCCTCCGCGGGAGGGATCGAATTCGCGACAGCAATTCTACTTACAAGCTTGGCCTGCATGTGATTCATCCCCGTCGTCGCCATGGATGGAGCGCGCGATCGATCGAAGAACAAGGCGCTACCCCGACGAACGAAGAAGGCTTTTTAATTTTCCTTTCTCGAATTGCCCTTGCCGTACGTTCGTACATCTAGTCGTCCCAGTCGCCGGATCCGCCACGCTCGATCGGGGCCGCCCGTTTGAGCGCCACGTGTGAGAAACGTGTCAGTTGGATTTATTTTAGGGCAAGATGGGCAACGCTGTTGGAGTGGCAGTGGCAGTGGCAGTGGCAGTGATCCTTGCGCTCCTCGCGGCGGCGCCGGCGATCGCGTCCCATAATGTGGGAGCTCTGGCCTCGTCCTGCGAAGAGTCCGATTTTCTCTACAAGTCGCTGCCCTGTGTCAAGGGCGGCACGGTGATGAGCACGCCGAGCTCGCAATGCTGCGTCGCCGTGCGCGCTATGGCGCTCGAGTGCTTGTGCCGCTTGATCGTGTCCGCGACGGGGGCTTCCAGCGAGCAGACGGTGAAGAACTACGTCAAGACGTGCAAGATGAAAGCTCCGCCGGGATTCAAATGCTAAAAGCAGCGGCAAAGAGCGAATCAAATAGGTGGGATGGGATTGATTGATGCGTGTGGGTTGTGAGCTCTCTCTCTTTTCTTTCTCTTGAGGAATTCGTCTCTTTGATCTATCGTGCCGACAAAAGCTCTTCTTGGCTTGCTCGTGACTTAGCTACTGGCGCCAGCTTTGTAATAAATCGATAGATCGTGTCAAAGTTCGCCTTTTTTTTCATCTCTCGCGTTCCTTTCGATCGTCTTTCCTTGTCGAGCCGTCTTCCGCGATGTTCTTTCTCGCTTTTCGTGATGCAATCCATGCCACACGTTTGAGCGGCGCAAGCTTTATAAGCGATCGATTTGTGTTCGAGACTTCTAGGCCAAGATCATGGAGTTTGTCTGGCTTGTGGTGGCTCTACTGCTATCTCTTGTTATCTCTTTGGTTGATTCTCAGCTCACCACCAGCTTCTACGATCAAAGTTGTCCGCAGGTCTTCTCCATCGTGAGGCAAGGCGTGGATCGAGCGTTTTCGAGAGAGCAGCGCCTCGCAGCATCATTACTGCGCCTACACTTTCACGACTGCTTTGTCAACGTTGGATCACGAGTTCCACACTTGAAACTCGGCACGGGTTAAGTCACTGTTCTCATCTCGGTTGCTCATGTGCAGGGCTGCGATGCTTCGATTCTCCTGGATGACACTTCCACCTTCACTGGCGAGAAGGCAGCCGGGCCAAACCTCAACTCGGCGAGAGGCTTCGATGTTATCGACGATATCAAGTCGGAGCTCGAGAATCAGTGTCCAGGCATTGTCTCGTGCGCTGACATTCTAGCTCTCGTTGCCAGGGACTCCGTCGCTGTGGTAAAGTTCATACAAACTTAGTCGCTATCGATCAACTTTGTTCTTTCAGTCCGCTGGACCATCGTGGGATGTTCTTCTGGGCCGCCGAGATAGTTTTCGAGCTAGCCAAGCCGATGCCAATCGCTTCATTCCATCGCCCGCGTCGGACGTTCCAGCGTTGGTCTCGGCATTTCAAGCAGTGGGTCTCTCAGCATCGGACATGATAGTTCTTTCAGGTACTGCCAGCCAACTTCGATTCTCCCACGCAAAAAAAAAGGATTTTTCTCGTTTCTAGGTGCTCATACTATTGGAGCTGCTCGCTGCGGCACCCTGACTCCACGTCTCTACAACCAAAGTGGCACCGGACAGCCCGACTCCATCGGCGATCCCGATTTTCTGGCCTCGCTCCAGCGCTTGTGTCCACCGGGTGGCAATCCGGGGACTCTCTCCCGCCTCGACGTGAGATCTCCGCAGGAATTCGACAACTCCTACTACCAGAATTTGCTGCAAGGCCGCGGAGTGCTCCACTCGGATCAAATCCTCTTCTCCGGCGGTGGCTCGTCGGCACAGGCAGTCCAAGACTTGAGCAGCGATGAAAATCTCTTCTTTGGGAACTTTGCGGCGTCCATGGTGAGACTGGGGAGCATCGCTCCTCTCACTGGCCCGGATGGAGAGATTAGAACGAACTGCCGCTTTACAAACTCTTGACGAAGAGCAAAGAATTTTAAACGTTAAAGAAGTTTCTATGCTCAAAGCCCTAGGCTAGTTGGGACGAAGCGAGGATGGCGATGGCGCAGCGCTTGCGATTCATCGGTAAGACATTGGATTTGCTGTCGAAATCCTAGTATCTCAGCCTTGGATCTAGCTACAATGCAGACATTGGCGCCAATCTCTCAGGTACTTGCTAGTGAAAATCCGAGAGAAGAGTGACCTCGTTTTCTCTCGTAGATGATATGTTTAAAGGGATGTACAATGGGAAGCAATATCACCCAGCTGACTTGCCAATGGTTTTGTCGCGAGCTTGGAACGCTGGTGTCGATCGAATCATTGTAAGCGGAGAGAAGTTCTCTTGTCTATATAATCGAGAAATGTTTTAGGTGACCGGAGGATCGCTTGAGGAATCGAAGCAAGCTTTGGAGATTGCTCAGACAGATGGTACTTTGTTCTTTTCTTCTTTCGAACTCTCGAGCTTGGATGCTGTTCTCTACAGACAGGCTCTTTTGCACTGTAGGAGTTCATCCAACGCGATGCAAGGTATGGGACTTCTTTTTCGGATTCATCGATTTCCTTTCGGTGCATAGGAATTCGAGGCTCGGGGAGAACCGGAAAAACATTTAAAGGATCTACTAGAACTTGCAAGGCATGGCTGCTCCCTAGGAAAGGTATGCTAGCTTTTTTATATCGATTACATTTATCTTAGAGGCTGTGTTTTCAGGTGGTGGCGATTGGGGAGTGTGGTCTCGACTACGATCGCTTGAAATTTTGTCCAGCTGATGTTCAGCGCAGGTTTGTCTTCCTTTTTAGAAAAACAGAAATGCCACTTATGGTTTTCAGGTACTTTGAGAAGCAGTTTTATTTGGCGGAAGTAACAGGGCTTCCAATGTTTCTACACATGCGCGCTGCTGCCACGGATTTCTGCGAAATAATGCAAGCTAATCAGCAAAGGTATGTGACCAAGTTTCTTCCCTTTTTTTTTTCTAGATTTCATCTATAGGTAGAACAAGTTTAAGATTCTTAACAGGTTTCCGGCAGGAGTAGTGCATTCATTCACTGGCACTGCCGAGGAGAGAGACAGGCTTTTGGGATTTGAAAAGCTCTATATAGGTGACGGACTAGCAAACTATTACTTCGTGTTCTCACTGTTTCACCGAAGGTATCAATGGATGCTCGCTAAAGACGAAGGAAAATTTGGATGTAATGGCTGGGATTCCTGTGGAGAGAATGATGATCGAGACGGATTCGCCATACTGCGAGATCAAAGCAGCTCACGCTGGTGTGGAGCACGTCATCACACACTGGGTGTCAAAAAAGAAAGAGCGTCACGAAGAACATTTGACTGTGAAATCGAGGAACGAGCCATGCCACATTAGGTACTTGGCTCCAGTTTACTTCGATTCAATTCTTTGAAAACTTTGCAGGCAAGTCTTTGAGGTGATCGCTGGGTTTCGTAAAGTCGAGGACGCGAATGGCATCGCGGAGATATTGTATAAGAACACATGCAGGTAAGCATTTTTTTGCAAAATACTCTTACGAGACGTTTTTTTAATCTTTCCACCAGTGTGTTCTTCCCGGATCAGTGAACGCTCACGTAGCCAAGGTCAAGTGAAGCTAAAATCAAAAGATAAAAATGGGTAAGCTCTCGCAATTTGCTTGTTCTTAGAACTTACAACAGATACTTCGCACAGCTGGTATCCAGTGACTGGGCCAATGCTGGATCTGATCGATCTTATCGATTGAATGGTGGTGCAGCTAATGCTGAATCAGTGAGAGTACATGTTTTAACGTTTTTTATATGTGGTCTAAGCATAAAATCTTATATAACATCTCTTATTCCGTCCAACGTTTTCCTTACATACTTAAGGCCTATGGTCTAGTGGTCTGGACACTGGACTCTAAACCCAGTGGCCCGAGTTCAAGCCGATCTCAATTCAAAATAGAATGCACAAACATCAGGGTAATAACTTGATAATAACTTTCGTAAATAAAAGAAGCTTGATAAAGAGACAAGTAGTTAACTGCATGCAAAACGAAAAATTGTGTACGTATTTTGGGACCACGTAGGCTGTTCATGACACGTGGTTGAATGAGATCTTTGTTGGATCACTGATTTTTGGCATCTCCTCGCTAATTGCAGCCGCTGGTGATCTCCGTACTCAAGGGTGAACTACCATGGAACTTGGGAAGACTATCACTTGGAAGTTTGGATGTTTCTTACGACCAGCAAGTGATTCCACAGACAACCCGAATTTCCAGATGCATGGAAGGGAAATCCAAACTGTGTTCTCTTGCAGCCTGCACAGGTTGACCACTATTTAAGAAGACAATGCTTGGCTAGTGATAGCTAAGTACTCGAACTCCAGGTGCTCAGACTTTGAACGATTACCTTATAATTTGTGTAGTTTTAACATTGTTTTACAACTACGATGCTGAAGCTTACACTCCGAATGACCCCGGTTGGACCCCCAGCAAATTCTTCCTTCCTTTTTCTATTCTGCAAAGGGGCAGTGCAATCCCCCGGTCGCTCCAAGCTCCACCAGCTTGTATATCTCCCTTCTCAAATGCCGATACACCCGGTACTCTTCTGGATTGGCAGCGGGATTGGGACACCAGTCCACCTCCATGCTGCCCTTTGAATCCTCCACACATCTGGAAGGCATGAACTTCAACCGAACAAGAAAAGCGTGCTTCCAACAATGCTTCAGGCCACAAGTCTAGTTCCATCAACGAACAAGAAGTATCTACCATACTTACTGGAAAACACCTTTGATTTGTAAAACCTCGTTTGCAAATGGGCATTCCCATCCGCGTTCACGTTCAGTTTGCAGAGGGTTGCCAAGTTAAACGAATATTCCAAGTTAAATCAGAATCTTTTACAATCTTTTACATTTCTTTCAGAGGGCAGGAGGTAATTGCTGGTGCAATGGCTCGCTGGGCCAGTTTTTCTGATCATTTAGGGAAAAGACAAAACTCCTTGTGGGATCAATTCACTATCTGTAATGTAGCTTACGAACAAGGCCACGGGCAAGGCCCCTAGATTTGCAAGTTCTGCAATGAGTTGAAATCTGGTTCATTGAAGAGATTGATTGCGTATGTAGGGAGGGTATCGGGGGAAGAGATTGAGGTTTGCTGCAGCTAGGTGCCCTTGAATGTGCCCAATGAGATGCAAACGAAGTTCTTCAGTGATTATCATCGCTGTGAACCACCACAAAAAGATGGTCCTGCTATATGCACTGCAAATGCCCAATATGTGAACATCAACAGAGAAATTTTCAAGACTCCTTTCCAGAGATTGGCTTTTACTACTTGCCCACTAATTTTGAGTCATGGAACATTTTCATTTCCACCAAGTAGTAATGCTCCAAGTCAACAATCTTTCACTATGACAATAGATTTTGCTGCTTCGAATGATAATAATGCAGCAGATGCCCAGACAGGGCAAGCACTCTCTAGAGGACTTTCCAGTAGGCAACAACGGAGCAACATGTCAAGTCCTATTGGGGGGACGCAACTGGGTCTGGACATGGCTGCTGGCAGACAACAAAACTTGCATACAACATGGCAAAACTAGAGTTACATTGATGTGGATATTGTTGTTTGCAGATTCATCTACTGAACTGCACAAGCCTTCAATGTTATGAACAACTCATATTGAGAAGAGATGCTCAACATTGTGGGGAAAGCTAGTCTGGGCTACTTCTCGGTGTCTCTAAAGTATGAAGCGATCTGGGTGAAACATTTGAATGAGGAGTATGAAAGCTTTAATTCGAGGCTGGAAGCAATTTGGCTGCATGATCGTCATTGATAGCTAGCAATGCTCAAGGAAACAAAGCATTGTGAATGTGATGGTGGTGAGCATTCATGGATCAGTGTTTCTGAAATTATTTGATCCATTGGAGGAGAAGAAAACTAGTCTCTCGAAGTTGAGGCTTATTCTCATGGAGGTTGGAGTTAAGAATGTGGTTCAAATGATCATTGATAATGGCTCCAACTTTGTTGGCATAGGGGATTTTATGAAGGAGGAGTTTCCAATGATTGTTCATGGCAAATGTGTTTGCCATTGCTTGAGCCTCCTCTTGAAGGATATCACTAACCTTGATTGGGTTCAACCTTGTGTGAGCAACTGTGAGAAGATTGTCAGTTTCATGTTGAAGAAGCCAAACTTGGTTATAGCATTCTGGAAAATCACCCCTTGAGACTTCATCAAACTAGTATCAATTAGATTTGCGTACAACATCATGGTGATGAGCCCTTTGACTAAATCAGACATGCTCAAAGCTTTGCAACAGTTTGTGGTATTAGATATATGGTACCAAAACTGGGATAAGTTGAGCGAAGCTTTAGTGGTGAAAGTTTTGATTTAGAATGGCAGTTTTTGGCATTGTTGTGTTGAGGTTTTGCTGGTGATGGAATCAATTTTGAAAGTTCTAAAGCTAGTAGATCGAGAAGGAGCAATCTCAAGGCTTCTA